CTTGGAAAGTTTAGCAGTTCAATCAATTTTGATTATTTTGAAGGCAGTAATTGACGTGCCAAATAGTGTATTGAAAAATCAGTTTGTGCAGAAAATTCAACGAATAATATATTTAGAGTAATAGGTACATTTATATTACGAAATAATTCAGTGATAATTTGTATCCATCACATTATCTTCAACAATAGAATGAAATCATGTATAATAACATCGTATATTCCATATTCTACACATCATTCAAAGGCTGTTCACCAATTTAAATCAAAAGGTGCTTTAGAAGTAGTAAATTGGAACGGACTTGTAAAACGGTGTTTTGCACCCAGATTAGGGGCTCAAAAAGCTGTGCGTTGATGAGTTATTTACACAAATTTCAGAAGAAAATCGCTACAAAATTGAATTAATTTCATTTTCAAATTTTATACCTTTGGGAACGTTTGGAGATTTTAAGTCCCACAAATCTTATTTGTGCAGAAGACTTAATTTTTTTGTTTTTTTTAACGATTTTCTCAATTTCATACAAACCTGCGTTTAAAAATCTTAATTGTTCAGAAAATTCATGTTTTTCTACAAAAACAAACTAATCAAGTTATCCGATTACGATATTGCACTGTAATTTGATATTCATGATGAAATTCACTGGGCCGACAAAAGTTTTCTTTGTCAAATCGTTCATTCCGTTCCTTCTGCGAAAACCAAATTATTATTAATAATTTATGACTTTTTGTTGATGCAATTCATAGACGAATTCCATTTGCGCAAATGTCCAAATCACGTTGAATTCGTGGACATACAACACATACATGGACACAAGTCATTCTGAGCCAGTTGGCTTTCGCATTGAGTCAGTCCCACACAAAAAATTATATGCTGATGCATTCATTCACACTGTTTTCTGCTGCTAAGTGAATTTGATAAAGTGAATTTGTTCATGGTTGCTTCGAGCCATTTGAATATTTTTATAGTGGATTATTTCGAATTTTGCATTTTAAATCCGATATGTACCTATATACAACCGAGTTCAACCCTCTGACTTCGGCAGAGTTTCGGTAATATGTATGCTCTATTTCAATCAGTTAATAATAGTTTTCTGTTCATGCATTTATTACTATTCCTCATTATAAATCGTAAGCAATAAACGAAATGTGTGAAAAAGAAAGAGTAAGAAGGACTCCCTCTGAAAGAGAAGGAGGGAGAGTGAGCTTTGCATCGTGCAGTTGTGTATAGTACGAAGCACAAGATTCAAATGTAAATTGAGATCACGTTGCAGTTGTCATATCATACAGATTTTAATTTATATGTTATGTAAATATTCTATGTGACATGCATCTTTCGTGTCTCTGTGCCATTGCAATGTGAACACTTTGCTCAAATCACATTGCGGACGTATGCATAAATACATATCTATTTATTGTCGAACAACTCGAACGGCAGAACAAATGCCATGGCAAATCGAGTCAAAACAATTAAAATTAGACGCACATGTAGTACAAAGAAAACGTTTGGCGACAGTGCGCAGTAAAGTCACATGTACGCCCTGTCCTTAAACAAACAATAAATAGTGAACTAAACCAACAACTAAAACTACTTATACACATAGAATAGAAAAAAATCGCAAAATTTTGCGATCAAGTTTGATTGGGTGTTCGTTGAAATCATTTTTCAATCACTCACAAAATATATATAAAATACGAACGATATTTTTCGAAGTCTTTTACGAAACCATCGAAAACCGAGCATAGAATAATTAAAGTTTCAACAAAAAAAGTAGATAATTTGATCGATTATAAGTTAATTGTGTTCGATAGACCAAAGGAATAGTGCACTTGAAAAACAGGTGACGATAAGAAAAATTTGTGATTATGTGCTGTCCATTTATTTGATATACAGTTTGGCCGTATTTCCTCTAATAACTTTCGTATAATCACCTACCGGAATAAAAAGGGACCGTTTTAGCTGATTTGCACAACAATGGGATTGTTACTGTCGATTCTATTCAGCTATGTAGGTGCCATGGAGCTGATATTCATTGTACGTGATATTGTTCACCAAGTCGGCTTGCACCACGAACAGATGAAATTGAATCAAAGCCCGTCAAAAACCACGTCCGCATCATCATCATCATTTTCACTTCTCGATTTACAACAAAATTTACGTAAATCCATAAAATCGGCACACGAACGTTTACACGAAACTGACACAATTCAATCGATGGCCGATGGAGTTCAATATGAACAAGGTTATCGTGTTCCAAATGATGGTGAACAAAATACTTTAAATCGTTGGATGGAGGCACGAGCCAGTGTTACAATCGAGCCGTCGCACAATTCAAATTTCAATAGTTTTGAAAATAATTGTGCTGTAAAAACATGGACTGCAGCTACAAATACTCAGAACGACGACACGTTCGTCGAAGATGATTCCCTGCGCAGTAGTAACTTAAGTGTAGAAACAGTAATAGAATACCGAAAAAATGATGATCGATCAAGTCAAATCGATAGCGACGACCTCAGGAAAAATGGTAGCGATGACGATGTGCATCCAAACATCCACTTCGACGAATACTCACAGGACTATTTACACGCCTTGGATGGAATTGCAAAGAAAGGGCAAAGGAAAAATGAAGAATCGCGACGACGGAAAAGTTATAAAATGTTCACGGGTGGTCATTCGGGCGGTGATATTTTACTAAGGCGCCGATCAGAGGATATTGATGGTGAAACGGATAATCCCTGGGGTGAACTGAAACCAGAAAGTTTTCATAACGGGTTGTGGAAGCGGGAGCGTGCCATATCGATAGCAGAGAACGAGGAAATGATGGCTTTTGTTGATGACAAATCGTGTCATGAGTGTCCACTCAACAGCATCTCATCAGCTGAAAACAAAAACGTAAGACATTTTCTCATTTCTTGTGATTGTGATTGAGCGGAAAATTGTATTTTGTGCGTTTCAATGTTATCGAGCTGTTCAGTAAAAAAACGATTAAAATGGTATTTTCCGTAGGGAAAAACGAGTGGATTTCATGGAGAAAGAGAGTCAGATGTAAGTAGCGAAAATCAATTTATTTCGAGCGATAATTCTGAAGGAATCATTCGCCCGGGTGGCAATACTATTGACACAATACGAAAGCTGCCGGAAATATTCATCAATGGCTCGGATATGGCTGTTGAAGATGGCCAAATGAGTGAATTCATAGATTACATTGAAAATTTCGACAATGACGACGCCCCAGTAACGAGTAAGTTTCAGTTGAAAGAGTATTTGGAACAACCAGAATCCTTACGTTACACAAGCTTTATTTATGCTGATAAAAATGATGAAGATGAATTAGAAGATATTTCAATTGTTGAAAGCGTTGAATATGAACCGAAGGATTTGGCAAATGAAAACAAATCGAGCAATTTTAGCTCGAAACGAGCTATAAATAATCGCAAGCCAAACATGTTTGGGTTGGCAACGCCAGAACACTTGAATTATGACAAAAATAACAGCCAGTACATGTACAGGCCAGTGATTCGAATAACACCGACCGAAGATGAACGTATTGAACAATTTTTGCATGATGAAAATTGCGAAAAAATCAATGCTGCAGAAGATCATTTTATCACTGAAGTACTCATAAAATCAAAGACAACTCAAATGTTTTATTGCAACGATGAAAATACAAGTGATGTAGAATCATTCGAGTCAGAATCACGCGTCAATAGCCCCACTTTGAATACGATGCGTCGTGAAAGTCTTTTATCAGACGGCGATTCTGACCCAATCCAATTTGAATGCAAACAATCAACGGATCCAAATCGCTTTTATAACCGAGAAGATAGTTCTGCATCGAATAAATCAAATGTGCTTTTCGAACGTTCGCAATCAAGATTCTCCGAGCTGGAATACATTAAAGGACGAGATGATTGGAAAGACAGTTATTTACGCTATGACATTAGCGAAGAAATCGACGCCGATACCTATCATCACCATAGGAGACACAGTGAGACGGTAGATACTTTAGAATATATTCGTGGACGTGAAGACTGGCTGCAAAATGAGCTACACCATGCTGGCAGAAATAGCTTACCGAGAATTTTCGAAATGATTGAACCAAAAATCGTAATCCAAGACGAAATCGACAGTGATGAATATCATCACAATTTCTTTCAGAATGAAACCTTTTATTTGTTCAACGGTAAAACTAGGCAAGAGAAAAAAACGTTCAAAAACAGTATACAAAGCAACAATTTCTGTGAGATTGAAAATGTCAATGGTTCGAATAATTCTGATTGTAAAGTCCCGGAATGGACCGACAATGTTGAAATTGTCTCAAGTATAGACGGATCTATGGTTTCTTCAGCAAATGGTATTCCTAACGAAAGCAATGAAATTAATGAAGCTATCAAAGATTTGATAACACATAAAACGCCAAGTAGAGAAGACATAGAAATTACTGTATTGGATTTGGCCTCCGATATGGTTTCTGATCAACAACAAAAAATGTATAATCCTGTCATTGTGATTGACGAAGCAACAGAAGGCAATCAAGAAACTCCCATCGAATTGAATTTGAAGCAAATGCTTGATACAGCGAGTCCGGAACCTGCCGATATTCCCGCCTCATTCGAGAATACAGACACCAACAATACGCTGAGTGCAGAAAGCATCCGGACAGAGAATAACAATGATGACAATCATCGGAATACAAATCTACTATCAAATGAGATTAATCAATTTTTGACATCAGAAATTATGAGCGAAATGAAAAGTCGCCGTGATGATGAAAAAGGAATGAATTTATTGGAAATGTTTGAAGTCACCGAAGTCACACAACAAAACAATAGAAGTGTTCGTGCAACGAGTGAAAAGCTGGATTCAATGAGTCAAAGTTTATTAAAATCAAACGAGCAGAAACCACGACGAACTTCAAGTTTTGAAAATGTTGAAGATTTGATTCGAGACGTCAGTAATGGCCCATGGTTTCACAAATAGTGGGTCCAAAAAAGTACTTTGCAATATTGAACGAAGAAAATAAAATCATTGACAACGAATGTTTTTCATTTTCCTTAATTCAGTCTTACTATAATCAGAGATCATTTCTATTGTAAATTTTTAACGATTAAAAACAGTACGCCTTCTTTAACTCCATAACCTTTATTAAAAAGAGATGTTGAAAAATAAATTACACGCTTTGGAGCTCTTGCTTATTATTCCCTTTTCCATTACTAAACTAGTTACATTCTATTAGTATTCCCTTTTCCATTACTAAACTAGTTACATTCTATTAGAGATGTGATTCAGTCTTAGTACTTCTTTTTCAAATTAAATTAGAAACGAAAGCAAGAGAAAAGGCAACGCATCTTTTATCCAATACTAAATACACAACTAAATAGAATGAAGCGAAGACTCATAATACAATATCTTGGCATTGATTCAATTCAGATGATTTGTCGTAGGTTTGTTGAATAGCGCGTTATTCGATTATTATAAGTTGAATCAGCTTCCAACTTTATTCGGTCTTGTGAATTCGAATTGAGTTTGGTTCACAGAAATGTAAGTGAAATGGTCCGTACACGAATGCAATAAATTTATAGAAAAATGTGAATAACGAATGATTTGGCTTTAAGCTACCTGCAAGCTATCATGAAACTCATTTTCAGATTCGAATTTTTTGCGAAAAGAAAAATACTTGTATCACTCGGCACATGTCTAACAGAAAAGAGTTTGTGTACAGCGTAAAAAATCTGACGGTGGAGAGTTTCGAAAAATCATTATGATACGCAACTAGTTTTATCAGTGTTATAAATATTGAAAGCTGACGCCAAATACTCTTCTGTCATTGTTAGCATTAAAATGTATTAAAACATCAGAAACATATTCACATGGAAACACTGAATCGACAGCATCAATTTGAGCCACAAAATGTAAGCGATTGTGTTTATGTGTCAATCCCTCGTGTAGTTTCGCTCCGCACATTGAACGTTGAAATCCAAACAATCATCGATCTATGTGAGAACTCCCAATATTTATGATTGTAAATAAAGATGGATCACTTTGGTATATTAAGCAATATAATATGCCATTAGAAAATATAATATTATTTATGTTTATGTATTAAATGGATGAAACAAGACATTTGCTCTTGATTTCACTGTACAATGTTCCGCTTTGACACACATTTAACCACAAATATTTTCGTTTGAAATGATTCCCTGACGTAACACTTTGATATCGAATTCGATTACTTCTACATTTTTTGTTTGGACCAATTTCATTTCGTTTTGTTTGTGGAAGCAAGGCGATACTCATAGATAGTACATGATTTGTAGAAGATATTGTCGTTTCGATCTGGGATTTCGTTTGAACATTTATTCATTCTATTTTAATAATTGTATTTTTTACGTGCAATTTTTTTATTTTAATTCTGAGTCTGACTCTTACTTTACTGATATTTTATGCCTGTCGCTTAAATTTTTCCAAGGCTAACGTGACTTTTGATCGTCGCATCTAAAATGAAAATAAAATTATTCAGAAAATCTCCAACACCGTTTCAAATGTAAAATGACTGGAATTTCAACTATATTTTCAATGAAGCTGTCATTTCGGAATATTCTGAAGATGAGTAAATATCTTTTTCTTGTATGATAAAAGGCCGTCTTGGCCAAAAGCACACCAACCGAAATCAGAAACATATTTCAATCGAATATATTTCGTTCATAGTTATCACGCGGATTGTGGAAAAAGTGGTTCATAAAAATAGCCGTGGATCAATTGATTTCTTTAATTGAAATTAAATTATTGCCGAAAAAAAAGAATTGAATTATTCGAGAATTCCTTGTTTTTCCAAGACTGATTTCAAAGTAGACTGTGAATAACTCACGCCTTCATGCTCATGCCTCCGTCTCGGCAAAATTTAATCGCAATTTTTTTTTATTGATTCTACCAAATAATTACAATCCATGTAGATCGACTGAGTTTTTGTCCATTTGTGAGCGTGCGTGAGCTCAAGTGTGTTCAGCTGTGGTTAACGCTTTGTGTTGTTGTTAATTTTTAATGAATTTTCTACGTTGTGGTCTAGCGGCGAATGCGCCAAAATAATATATAAATAGAAATCGTTATGAGGATCGTTGAAATAAATAGATCACAATGTCAGATTAACATCGTTCTATTCTCAACCAAGTGCGTGTATGTTTCTTGAAGCTTTCCACATGCCAAGCTATTTTCTAACGGGACAGCGCATGAATTTTATTTCAATTCAACGGCATTTGGCTTGGAGTGTCTTTTGAAGTCATTTCATTTTGAAAATTGAATAGCGGAATCGATCCGGGCACCTAAACGCTTGCGGTACACGCTGAAAATATCTGGCCGTATGCCATAAATCAGTAAACAGTTGTATCGCACAAAACTCGCCATACCGAAGTCAAGCATGATTCGATCATCGTTGTTCGAACATATTACAAATGCAATGACACATCGGCAATATTTCTTGTTGTTTCATATTTCTTCCGAACAATTCATTTTGAGAATGCGCCTCGTTGTCGTTTATTTTATTTCATTTCATTTCATTTTTGCTGTTGTATTTGGTTTACTGATCGTTATTGCGTTTTCGGATGCGCTTAACATCAACGTTTCAGAATTTTCCGAAGCACAGAAATATTTCTAAAAATACCAATGTGGTAGTTGCGGTACTTTTGTTGTATATATGTTTCGATATTTGCTCGTTTTACGATAAACCATAGCACAACAACTTGAAGGCAACATATATTTCCATTTTTTTTCTTGTTGCCTGTTTTGTAGTTGCGTCAGCTTTGTTGTTAAGATCAAACAGCTCTCTCTCTCTCTCTCACTCTTTTCCTCTTCCTCTCTTTCTTGAGAAAATGCAATACAAACAAGATCGGCGATAAAAGTGAAACGTCCGCAGCGGTAATGTCGTAGGTTTGCGGTGCGTTACTCCTTAGTTTCATCGAAAATAAGCTGACTGCCTAAATATTTTTAAGAAACATACGTCTGAGGCTCAGAGCGTTTTTCATTTGTTCGCGTGTCAGAAAAGAATTCCTTCTGGAAATAGCAGTTTTGTATTACGGTGTCGCGACAGCTTGTGTGCACTTGTCTCTTCGATTATATTGAATTGGAAAATATTCTGAGCGATATTTCGTTCGTAATAATTCTTTGGTTTCCGTTCGGTGTCATTCATTTCGTTGATTTTTCCAAGAAAATTAAAAAAAATTGAACGTATTGATTTGTGAAAAAAAAATAGTTTAACTACGGTATAAACAACATGGCTGATGTTGAAGTCAGACGGGACAGTCTGATAAATGAGACAACCACCAAGAAAACGCGTAAAGTTAAGAAAACTAAGCGTCGTGAATCGGCCGATCAAGGTTCAGAAATCACTATTACGGAAGTTGAACAAACTGGTGACCAAGATGAAGAGGGGTATGTGGATGAACGGAAATCTTCTTGTTTTGTTTGTAGTCACTTATTCTCACCATACACACAAACACACACACACCAGTACATATGATTTCAACGGTGATTTGTGCCATTTGCAACAGTCAATTGCACTAGGTCAGCTAATTATTTTGCTATTTGCAGCAACCTTTATATTGACACTATAGATACAACTGAAGGAAAGTGTATGAATAGCAAATAGACTTAATTGCACCTAGTGCAATGTCAATGCAAATTAATTTACAGAAGAAAGTACATACGTGTTGCTTGCGTTGACAATATGACTGACCAGTTCATTTCACATACCCCTTCTTAATATAAAAAGGTACCTATTTAAGCCATGCATATTCTTATAATGAAATTTATTTGTACTATAGTATTTTAATATTAGAAAGTTTGTTGCGGAATATTGTTCTTAAGTGCTCGAAAAATTCACGACCGAGTTAAAATGACAAAAAAATAAAAAGAATAAAGCAAAACGTGGATAAATATTTCATCAATTACATCATCATCGCCGTTTTAGAAGCCTGATAGTAATATGTGACTAAGTGAAACCATTAGTACGATTGACGATAAATTGTATGAAAATACAGTACAAATCAAATTACCCGACCTAAAGGAACACTCCCATCTATTCCATCATCCATTATTAATATATGATGTATTTGAATCGTACGAAGAAAAACATATAATTTATTTATTTGGGCTTATTTTGTGAGTATTGTTCGTCAAATGTGTCGGCTCCAATCTCAACCTGAACTGGAATGAAAGGAACTTTGCTCGTGCAATTATTTAATTGGTTCATCTTTTCTATTATATTTTTTTATTATGCATTTTGAATTGATCAAATTGAATCCATATAAATCGATTTTATCATATTTATGTGATATAATGTGCTTAGGTATCGTCAATGCCACAAAGTTTTTCAAATGTGAATATATGCGCCATACTGATATACATATATAGTTTGTACATTTGCATACGCTAAAGTCAAAAAAAAAAAAAACAATTTGTCTGCACTCTTTCCAAATACATACAATAAATCTGCATGAAACTTTCGGTGTGCACATTTTATATTAGACTCTCGCCTTGATTCCGTTTTCCTCTTAACATTCAACGGAAACTACAAGGCGTAAAAAAAGTGTACACCATTAAATCAAATGGTATTTGTGCTCTTCCACATCCCATGTTGTTCTGCAGTTCAAGAAAATATTCACATTCACATGGAAACTGTATTTTTTTATGCATACATCTATATAACTTACATGTATATTGTGCAGAAATTTGTCGTTTTTCTGTTTGTTTTCCGATGTGATAACAGTGAAAAATTTGAGACGATAGAAATTCGAAATAAAAAAGTCCAAGAGCTAGAAAGGATGAGCAACAAGAAAAAATATTTACATTCTATTTTTCTGCTGAAATATCTCAATACGCTTCAATAACTCGATCTTCGCATGGGTTTGCAATGAAAGGAAAAGTAGTCGGATAAGCAAACGGTACAAAGTGAACAAAGTGAAGAAAAAAAATCGAAATTCGATAGAAGGATTTAGTGTAAACGTAAGTGGTTTGTAACTCATCGTCCAATAAAATTATTAATGTGAATCTGCCATTTTCTAAATATATAAACATGTCTAATCGTGGGGCGCAACATTCACTTTAATGTTGTAACGTTTATAACTTTGGCTATGTATATCGAGGATATGTGGAGTTGCTAATTGCATGGGAAATGGTTTTGAGCTCGTGCCAAAAATGTGGCATACAATTTGTGTGTATTTTATATTAAACGGCAAATCACAGTGACACAATATCGACGATATAAGAGAAGAAAACCTGTTATAAATACAAATACACGGTCGAACTCATCTATCGACAATGTGTAGTAATCTGTATATGTGTTATTCAACTTTGCTTCGTAGTAAATTTCGACAACAAACCACCATTTGAAATAGGTTCGGGTAAATCCCATTTACAACCAACAACACGGTCGCTTCCAAACGACTTCTTCATATGAAGACACGCATCATGATGAATACATTGCCGAAGGGATAAATAACAATTCATTCTTTCTTCCGCGAAAGCATAAAAACCAACATATATGTTGAATAAAACGCCCTTTATTTACTAGGCAGTTCTGTCTTGGATGTTCCGTTGCACGCATTCTATGTTTTTTTTTCTTGGCGAAATTCCCTCGTCATTCGATGATGAGATAAACATTTTCTCTTCACTGAACTGGTGTATGGCTAAGTTTTGCGTGTTTTATATCATATTGCTTTTCGGCACTGTTGCTGCTACTGTTTCTATCGGTGATAATATTAAATGAACATTTACTTATATATGCGTGGTGAATGCAAGAAGTGATTAATTTTATTTATATACATTTCGTCTATTCTTATGATTTAATTACAAAAACATTGGATATTAATACTTTCAATGCCATTTTAATATCAAGCTGAATGTATTTATCCATACGAGACGACTCAGTTTTGATCAGTTTCGTTCAATTTATTCGAATACGTCAAACAAATATCTTTGCGTTCACGGCCCCATAAAAGTGAACCGAAAATGTGTTGATTCCTTTATCAAGTGCTAACAAGTACATAAACTTGAACTATTTTTGCTTTACTCATAACAGATAAATGTTTTCGATGATTTGGATACGAATGGAGCAATGACTCCAACTAAATTAAATACATAATTCATTCCATTATGTGACGAATCGTAAAAGTGTTTTCGACTTGTTTTACGCAAATGTCTAATTGCCATGTATGCTTCAGTTAATTTTCAGTGGTGAATACACGAAAGCAATGAATCAGGACTGGCATTCTGGCCATTTTTGTTGCTGGCAGTGTGATGAAAGTTTGACTGGACAACGTTATGTATTGAGAGACGAGAATCCATACTGCATCAAATGCTATGAAAATGTCTTTGCAAATACTTGCGATGAATGCAACAAGATCATTGGAATCGATTCAAAGGTAATTAATTGCAATTTTTATTAATATCGTTATTATTTTTGATCCACAATATTAAGCCAAATGAAGTGTAAATTTTTAAATACACATATAGAGTCATTTTTCCAATAAATTTATCTCGCTCATACTATTTCCTTTTCATTCCGTTTCCATTTTTGAAAATAAATAGGATTTGTCCTACAAGGAGAAGCACTGGCATGAAGCTTGCTTCCTTTGCAATAAGTGCCGTGTATCGTTGGTTGATAAACAGTTCGGATCGAAAGCCGAGAAGATTTACTGCGGCAATTGTTATGACTCACAATTCGCATCACGTTGCGACGGCTGTGGTGAAGTATTTCGTGCTGGTACGTAGGAATCAATACAATTCACACATCATTTTATCATTTTTCTCATATTCGTGTGCGTTTTTTGTTGATGCCGTTCTTCCACTTTACTCAAAGACTTGGAATCAGTGTTTGATACTATTTACTGTGTGACACCCTTCGATCGACTTAAAATGTTAAAGGCACACTTTTTTCTAATGCGCAATGCATCGTATTTGTTTCTTCAATATGATATTTGACGAAAGCTTTGCTACGAGATTACGGTTTGTATAAATTTGGTTTTTTGTTTCATTGAAAAAAACCCAAATCGATATTCAAAGGCAGATTCTTCTGTATTAACATAGTAAACAGGCAAATGCCATAATCTAGAGCTCGGAAGTTTATGTCTGTCTTTATCATGACGTCCTAGTAACTCATAAGTCAGTGTAAAATATTCTGAGCGATAAACATTTTACGCTGCTTTTGCTTGGTGAACGTAAAACATGGATTTGGAATTTGGATTTGACTACCAAACAATTCCCAAGTAACAATTATTAAATGAAATATATCCGAACCCGGGTATATGTTTAGGGTTGAATGTGGGGTTACGTTTGACCATAGATACAATCATTTTTTTCGTCAAAAATGAGTGAAATTCGGGCGTAGTCCAATTGTGCATGAAATGAATGAAAAGAAAATAGAATGAAATCAATGCTCTTTTTTTCAATTGAAAACAAAGTCATTTCATTTGTACTTACGTACGCAACCAAATGTCACGTACTCCCGGGAATAACAGAAGGCAGTCCCCGCAGGCCCGCAAAAAATCAAGGCCAGTTGGCTAACAAATCTTTAGTACAAGTATTATTTTTAAAATGTATTCTTAAGTGATATGGAACTGGTGCTACTGCTAGTGGTTGCTGCAATCTATTCATAATCCTCATCTTCGGAGATGTGCTCGTAATCACTTTCGATGTTCTGTTCGTTGTTCTGAACCGGTCTCGATAGATTCGGGTGAATGCGGTATCCGAACACCTCGCAACGACCTAAAACAGAAATCACACACAAAAATGTGCAATCAAAATAGTTACAATCATTTCGATTTCATCATTTTACCTTTGTATAGAATGCACTTTGCAGCCACTACGTCACGATGCCAATTGGTTATCTCTTGGTTTACGTGCCAGTCGTTCCCCTTCAAGTCACTAGCTTCATTTGTATGACATTTAATAGTATTCAACAAGTTTTGACACCAAACGTGTTTTAGCTGGTCGAGTCGGATTGGCTGCATTACGTGGCTGATTGTTGTTGGCATTCCATTGCATTCGTTCATCCTTCTGCTCTTTGCGTGCTTCCTTTAGTTGTCGGCTACTTAATGTGGTCACGATTTGGTTTGGCAGTATTTGACCATCATACCCATTCAGCCAGCACTGTCGGCAAACTTTGAACCAATTTCGTTTGGTTCGTGGATCGAAACGTCCAAAGCATTTTGCGCATGTCTGCGATGTGAAGTACTCATCGACAAAACGAACGGTGCAATTGTTCAATTTCTTGAAGCTGGCCAACAATTTTCTTGTGCCGGGGCATCGCAATCGTCTTTCGATTCACCAATTTTATAACTTTGTTGAAGATTACATTTCGTTAATTCTTATTATTTTTGGGAAAAATGCTAAAACCTCATTCGAAACTTCCATTTTGATGATGCGTTTCTATTGAGTCATCGAATTCATGTTGCGCTTCAGTTCAAACACTATTATACTCCCATTTTTATTCTCAGCAACACAAATAGAATATTAACAGGTGGTACACTAAAGGTGTCAAACGGACACTCGTTTGTCCGTCCGTCCGTCCTTTTGAACATTTAGGACGGACAAAAAAATTTTTTTGTCCGTTTGAAAATTTTGGACGGACAAAAAAATTTTTTTGTCCGTTTGGAAATTTAGGACGGACAAAAAAAATTTTTTGTCCGTTTGAGAATTTAGGACGGACAAAATTTTTTGTCCGTCCGTTTGAAAATGTAGGACGGACAACGGACAAATCTTTAGGACGGACGGACAAATTCTTCAAACGGACATTTTTCAGACGGACGGCCAACAATTTTGTCCGTCCTAATGGTATAGTTCGGTATATTTATTTCTAACTGTTTCTTTGTAATGTGTATAGATCATATGACTCCGGCCTCTTTGCAAAGTTATACTTTTCAATTTCAAATTGTATAATGTCACCAAAGCAACTAAAATCATCGAAATTTTCAATAAAAATAACAATGTTTATTCGGTACAAAATAAATTTTATTTATTCTAAATTGCCTATCGGCGAAAAGATCGAGAAGAAATACGGGGAATGAAAAAAAAAAACGTTTCATAATGCACGAACTGTAATATCATATTCCCGTCAAACAAATGTTTTCCAAATATTGGATTTATTTTTATTTTTCATATATATTGTCAAATTCAAAACACATTCCAATGAGGCTAATTAAATTCGAACATTATTTTCGAAAACGAAATAAACATTGTTTTTTTAAATTGAAATTTTCAAATTTTGGCTCCAATACCAATTGGCTCCAATGTAAAGGGTGTCCCAAAAGTACCTGACCGATTTCTTTTTTGAATAAAATCTGCAATTACCGACGGATTTTTGTCATATTTGACAGGTGACGTCTCAAAACTATAGGATTTGGTTCGGAGTTGAATTTCATATGATTTTTCCATTTATGACCAAACCAGCGGCTTCTATTTTAGAGCATAATTTGAGCCCTAAAGTTCGGGAAAATGTTGATTTTTCCGACAAGGATCGATTGAATATCGTGTTCAAATGACTCCAAAATGTGGTGGACTTTCGATACAACATTTTTCAAAAATATTTTGTACGAATTAAATTGGTTTTGTTGAGAAAATTTATCAATTTCGGTCAAAAATTAGGGAAAATTCGTCAAAAAATGTTGTTTTTTCAACAAAGGTGTTGACGAACTGCTCTAAATCACTTTAAATAAGGCTACTGGAAAAAAAATTCTAATGTGATATGTTCGTCAAGTCCTAGACCGTCAATTTGAGTTAAAATTTTAAATTTTTCTTGTCCCGGTCGTGGCCAATTTGGCCAAAACGGCCAAAACGAGCCGAAATTGGCTCAATAACGATATCTCGTAAACTATTCAAAATTTCTAATCAGTTTCTTCGGTGAAAATAAAGTATAAGATGGAAGGAAAAAGTTCTTTGAACAAACCATATCCAAAAAGACGGTGCATGATACCGAAAAGTCCTTCGGTACTTATACCTTGTAATATTAAGGGAGGACTGTTTTTGTAGTGTGAAACTTGGGGTTCGATTACTAGTTTGTCTGTCATGTATTATGTATTGGGCCGGAAGCCTTATCAGAACTAAATCCTATAGTTTTGAGACGTCACCTGTCAAATATGACAAAAATCCGTCGGTAATTGCAGATTTTATTCAAAAAAGAAATCGGTCAGGTACTTTTGGGGCACCCTTTACCGAATAAACATTGTTATTTTTATTGAAAATTTCGATGATTTTAGTTGCTTTGGTGACATTATACAATTTGAAATTGAAAAGTATAACTTTGCAAAGAGGCCGGAGTCATATGATCTATACACATTACAAAGAAACAGTTAGAAATAAATATACCGAACTATACCATTAGGACGGACAAAATTGTTGGCCGTCCGTCTGAAAAATGTCCGTTTGAAGAATTTGTCCGTCCGTCCTAAAGATTTGTCCGTTGTCCGTCCTACATTTTCAAACGGACGGACAAAAATTTTTGTCCGTCCTAAATTTTCAAACGGACAAAATGTTTTTTTGTTCGTCCTAAATTTCCAAACGGACAAAATTTTTTTTTGTCCGTCCTAAATTTTCAAACGGACAAAAAAATTTTTTTGTCCGTCCTAAATGTTCAAAAGGACGGACGGACAGCCAATGTCCGTCCGTTGTCCGTCCGTTTGACACCTTTATGGTACACTGAGAAAAGGCTGGAAGGGAATATTCCAACCCTGCGTTGTAAATGTTGTCATTGCAGACGATTTTGTGAATTGTCCAACCATGGTTGGAATTTGACAATTGCGGAAATGCTGTCAATATTCCTCGCGCGATTCCTCTTCCACCAGTCTGCCTATGGCATATAGGGCTGCCTGGGTTTCCGCCACAAAAGAAAGAACTTTCTTCCTCTCCCACAACACTCCCTCATATACATCAAACACGCAAAAGAAGTAGTTTGGCTTCGAAATGTAATTGAATAAGCACTCTCAATTGCTATTGAGAAACCTAATTCATAGACGTGCACATACGAATCGGATGTATTACATGTAAACATAGAGCTGTTACAGTACTCATGAATAATCGGCTCAATGTGATTCAGGTTGTGATTTCGTTTCAAATGAAGCTCTAAAAAACTCCAAATAAAACAACAGAAATTTTTTGAATTTATTTCAAAATTCAAAAAGAACGATGCAACTGATTCCACTGTTAAAATTACATGTACACACATATAAATAGATATGGTTGGTTGGAATATGTCAAAAATCAACTATAGTGACATTTGGTGTATCAAATTCATCGAATTAAACGGGTGACAATATTCAATGACTTCAAAATTTCATGAAAAAACACACAAGTTTTTTTTTTCTTCAAAAGATTTTTTTGAATATGAAATCATGGACGAAGTTCAGGCTCTGCAGATCCCGAATATCAAATACGTAATGCTTATGAATTGTATGGTGTCACCACAAACTTTTCATCACAAACAGTCAAAGCATTAATGTGAATGACGCATTACAAAGTGACTTTGACAGCGAATGTCAATGTATCATTATCTCTTATATATAGTGTAAAAGTGACAGGAAAATATTTCTGGTCCCAGTTGCGTTGTTCTTTCACACACACTGTTTATAGCCAAATAAATATTTTTTTCTGAAATTAAACTCTCATGAAAACCATCTCGCCATTGTGCATGACCATTGACCAAGGCTTCGTGATTGCATACCTTAGCACGAAGTATATTTTAGGCTCGGTATAATATACCAGCATATCGCA